TATGTTGGAAGTAGATATGAAAGAAGATTGTCGTGAATTGGTTTGTAGACTGTCTAAAGTGTATTATACATAGAAAACGTTTGCTGCAACGTTCATGAGTGCTTATGAAATAAGATTTGAGCATTGGATTAAACCCACGCTTACTAGTATCAGTTCATGGAATTTATCACGAGTGAACGTAAGACGATAATATCATATAGTCTTTAAACCTAGATATATGGTTTATTGTTTGCAAGTTGGTTGTGCATTGATAATGCGTAAACGCATCAGTAACTTGATGTTATAAAACGCATTGTTGTGTATGATTTGATGAGTGAATAGTAAAATGCATATAAGTCGAGTTTATTTGTTCCTTTTATCCTAAGAGGGTAAAAGCGATATTTGGGCCCCTCGATGCTTTGGTTTGACTAATGTGTCGGTCCCGGTCAGGACTGAGTTGATGTGTTCAATTAAGTCTTATGTCAGACAAATCAGAGATCGAGAAACAAACTGTTGGACAATAAGTATGACTATGTTCCATGTAATTGTCCGCACGATATCTTGAGAACGGACTATACGATCCCTTATCTAAAGGACCAATCAGAGTTCGACATCGGCTTTTGAGAGCTACGATTGCTAATCGGATCTTGAAGTCGTACTTGCATTTATAGTTATTAAACTTATCCAAGTGGGAGACTGTTGGATTAGTGGCTAAGTCCATAATTATATTTGGTATGTACTTGACCCGGTTTTAGCATGGTCCTTTTGGGTTGCCTTCACCAAAGCAACTTGACTGGATGATTAATGGAGAAAGAGGTTATTATGGTTTATTAATATATTATAAGAGAAATCATAGGTCAAGAAGTAATTAAGAAATTAATTTTGTGATCAAAAGAAATTAATTGAACTAAAGGGGACTGGTATTGCAATTATAAGATAATTGGTTTTGGGCTATGAATCCCTATGGATCAAGGGGGACGAAATTAGGGTGGAAGGCCACCTTGAAATCGTCCAAGGCCTTATTCCAGAAGGTTCCATTGGACTGCTTAAGGCCTAAGCTAACCAATTAGGGTTTTGACTGAAACCCTAGCAGCTCAAGTATATAAGGACCCCTAGGGCTACAGAAATCGGCTACCAGAAACCCTAAGAAGTCCTTAGAGCCGATTTTGTGCCTCCATCTCCTCTCTCTAAGATCATCCTTCTTGCCTTGGTGTTTGTGAGCCATTAGAGGTATTACAATTGTGATACTAAGCTCTTGAACTTGAAGATTCTTGCTACTATCAAAAGGTAATCATCTAAACTTGTTGTAGTTGTAGATTTCGATTTTTGTAGTATGTTAGATTAGGGTTCATAAGCTTTGGATGATTTGCATGTACAATAGAGAAACCTAGATCCAAAGCTTTAGGGTTTTGCATGTGCATATAGGAATGTTCTTTTACTCAAAACCCATAAAAAAAATGTAATTTAGCTTTCCATACAAATAGTTTGGAATAGAAAAACGATCCATAATGGTTTTCCAATGTTCTTAGAGCAATGTTGGCTCCTAACGATACACCTAGATAGTTGAATGGAAGGGATTCAACTTCATCCAAGAGATCTTGCTCATGCATTTACTTCCTTTTCTTGAACACAAATGCCAAATACTTTTGATTTGTGAAAGTTTACTTTTAGACTAGATGATGTTTGAAAACATCTAAGAATGTGACAGGTGTTTTTAAAATTGGTTTGTGACCATTCACTAACAAATATTGCATTATCGTCATAAAATAGATGAGAGATTTAAAGGCTACTGTTTGGGACTTAAATGCCATGAAACAAAGACTTGGAGCATGCTGTTTTCATAACATTTAATCATACTATGGCTATTATTAATAACAAAGGGGGAGAGGGGGTCATCTTGTTGTATGCCTTTGGTAATTAGGAATTCCTTCGTGGGTGATCCTTTAACAAGAACAAAAGCACGAGCAAGCTAAGACATCCCCTAATCCATGATCTCCAACTCCATCAAAATCTCATTTGAGCCATGATTGAGTCAATGAAGCTAGGGGTGAGCATTTGGACCGGTGGACCGGACCGGACCGTTTTTTTGGACCCCCGGGCCGGTTCTCGGTTCTAGGAATCCATCCCGGTCCGGTCCGGTTTTTATCGGGTTTAGAACCGGTTGGACATGATTTTAAAAAAAATTTGTAATTTGTGAAAATTTTTAAACAACCATAACTCATTCATTTTAAATCGGATTGACACGCGGTTTTTTCCAACGTTTAACTTACAGTTTGTAGATGAATTTAGACTATAGTT